AGCTCCTCTTTTTTCCCGGACCCTTCTCCCCGTCAATCCCCAGCCGGATTGACGTCTCCGCTCTCCCACCTCCGGGTCCCCGGCTGCGGGCGTGGCTCCCCTCCCCATCCTCCAGCAATGGAGCAGGGCGGGGGTCCTTACCTCTGCGTGGATTTCTGAGTCCTCGGCGGCTGCGCCGCGGCCCAGGCAGCCCAGAAGCACCAGTAGCAGCAGCAGCAGCCGGGGCCGTGCAGCTGCCTCCCGACCGCCGAGGAGGCTGCCCGCGCCGCTCGGCCGTCCGGACGCGCTCTGGTCGCTGCCCATGCTCTCGGCTCCTAGTCTGGTCTGGAGCGCTGCACGCCGGGCTCCTTTGCTGGCGGGTGCCGGGTCCCCGTGCGCGGCTTGAAAACTTGCGACGCTCCCTGGCTCCGGCCCGGCGGGCGCGCGGCGGACTTCTGGCTCTAGGTCCTTGCTGGAGCCGCTCAGGTCCCCTCGGCAAATTCCCAAGCGCGAGGAGAAGCGGGCAGGGGCAGGTCCGGGCGCGCGGAGCCGGCCCGCGGGAGGGGGCCGGGCCGGAGCCGCGGGCCGCAGGGTCCCGCAGCGTCGGCGCCCAGCGCCCGGCTCCCGAGAGCAAGCGCAACTCCTGAGCCTTTGTCTGGCTCAGCGCTCCGGCCGCCCGGACCCGCCGCGCCCCCTGCGCTCCGAGCTCCCTCTGTCCATGCCCAAGGCCCGGCGCTGCCCAGAGCGCGCGCCTCCTGCCCGCGGCTCTGCTCACCGCTGCGCCCAACAGGGCCCGGGTCCCCAGGCAGTCCCGGGAGGAGCGCAGGGAACTGGCGCCCGACGTACCCGGCGAGTTCCGCGCGGCTCCCGGCGCTCCCAACCCTCCTCCCCGCGCGCTGCGGCCGCCGCCGCTCTTAAAGGGCCAGTACGCTCCCTGCGTGCGGTCCCTGGCGGGGGGCTGGGGCCAATACCCTAACCCGAGGCTTCCGAGTAGCAGGTGCCGGTAGTCAAGCCCCGGCAGGTGGGGCTATTCTTCCCAGATGGCGACAAACACCCCTAAGCTCGCCCTGCGTCACTCCATCCCAGGTTCTGAACGTGGGGGTGACCCCAGTTGGATCCTTTTAGAGGGCGCAAGGAAGGCGTGGTTTCCCTGAAAGGAGGAATGAAGATTCCTCCTCTCCTCGCCCTGGGTGGTTGAGAATGGGGAATACTGAGGCAGAGGTGGACGGGAAGGAGGGCTAGGAAGGGACCCAAGTGTCGTGTTTTGACTAAAATAAACGAATGCACAAAAACATTGAAACAACACAAAACTCTGGAAGTTTGTTGGCCAAGGCCCCTTTTCAAAGCGTCTTTTGGGCCCTTTAGTAACTTTCCTCAATCACAAAGTGAGGGGGGAGTTGGGCGCCTCCGGCGGGAGGGGTGGCACAGGGTTAGGAGTCCCGTGTCCCCATTTGCCCGCTGTTTGGATGTGGACAAATTATTTAGTCTTTCTGGGCCTTCATGTTTTTATCTGGAATGTGGGGCAAGGAGTTGGGGTGAAGATTAGGTGAGGGTTCTGGCTCCTGCTCATCACACATTAATTTCCAAGCTGAAGCCAGGCACTTCTTGGCCACTATTATGTGCAAGTGAAATGCCCACTGAGGCTCTGGACCCGGGGTTGGGGGGGCAACCTTCCCTCGGATCTTAATGTGCTAGATTTAAATGTATTCCAGGAGTGGTCTGAGATCAGTCCATGTGGGTGCTGGAGGCCAGAGCTAGGGACCCGGGATCGAAGGTCCCCTGAAGACTCTGCATAGGGACCTAGGACTGCCCTGACACAGGGCCCTGGCCAGGCAGGGCAGCGAGGTCAAGGAGGTCAGGAGGTGACTGGGGCGGAGATCTCACCTCTCTGCAGACCAGGAAATAAGAGCTTCCCTTACCTGAGGGCGGTTTTCCTTAAAGTGGGCCCTTGGGGCTCCTTAGCCAGCTTGCCTCCCTGAAATTGGAGGCAGGGCGAGAGCCTTGGAAATGGCCTGTTAGAACCGACCTGCCAGTGAAGAAAAAGCAATGGTGGATGTTACCTGGCAGAGCTTCCTCCGAGGAAGGAAGTTCGAGTTTGGCAAATTCATTGATTTTCTTTAACTTATCTGTAGGGATCCCTCATATGGGAAATGGGTTTCTAAATCTCCACTTTGAAATTTGCTTTGGGGAAATGTACAGTGGTTTTCAGAAATGGACATCAGGGTTGCCCCTGTTTAAATGAATGCATTGCAATCTTTCCCTGTGTTTATTCGCATTCAGCCAGTTTTTCTTTTTTAATAAAAGTGGGTTTATGGGACCACTGAATAAGAAAGGAGCCCAGAAGGTGAGCAGCATCTGTAGAGGCCTGCAGCTGGACAAGTCTAGAGGTTGTTTTCTCTTATGGGGATCCCTCTTGAAAGCGGCTTCCCCTGTGACCAGGGGTTCCCAATGATTAGTTCTGGCTCCTACAGGTACCGTGGGCAAGGCGACTAAGTTTCTGTCCTTTCTGGCCAGAACCTAAGATCATAAAGAGGACACAAGGAACTGAGAAGCATGAACAGCAGCCCTTGGTCAGCCAGCTTTAAATACCACAGCTTGCCAACATTGTTTCATCTCTATCCTGACCCCCAACCCCCAACTTTTTTTTTCTTCTTGGTCTTTTGAATCAAAGCCTGTTTACTGTGTTTCATAGCATAGTTTCATTTTGAGACCCTGATGTGGTGTCAGGGGTTGTATAGAAAGCTCTGGACTGAAAGCCAGGTCATGAGGTTCCTATCCCAGCCCAAATTTGCTGGATGATCTGGAACATGTTATTCCCCCCTGAGGATTTGTCTCCTCATCGTAAAGCTGGCCCAGCTTGTAGGAGAGGTCTGGTTCAGTGAAAGAAAGTTGCTCAGGCCCAGGACCCTTTCCCCACACAGCTCCCCAGCTGCAAGGGCCCCCTCAAGGTAGCGCACCAGGCCCACCTCAAAGGTGAGGCTGCCACTGAGGGAAAACCTGAATAAACCCTCTTGCATTTATCACCCATTTTAGCTGTCCTGTAGCTCAGCAGTACACTCACATTCACTTTGAGATAGGTAGATAACACTTCTGATATATGAGTCATGTGGTAAAGTTGGTTTTCAGCAATTTTGAGGTAGTTCAAATCAGCTAAAATCACTAACCCTTCACTTGGGCCTGGTCAGGTGTCCGATGGGTGCCCTTTTGACATCAGAGAGCTAAAAATACCATCTGCAGAGCATGCTAATGCTGCCATTTTCTGAAGAGTCATAGGACTCTTGGACTATGCCTGAGCAGAACTCAGATGACTTCACTTTTTCCTACTCTGATCACCCTTCCCCATGCCTCAGACCACCCTGCCTCTTTACCCCATGCATCCCTAAACCCTGTCCTGGGGAGGCAGATTTGAGACTTGGGACTCCTGCCTCTTCTCATTTGGCTGCCTGATGAATAAACTCTTTCTCTTTTGCAAAATTCACCGTTTTAGTGCTTGGCACAATTGAGGCAGGCAAAACAGGTCCGGTTGGGTTGCAAGGCAGTTCCTGGGACTCCTGGTGCCAAGACAAGGAATAAACAAGCAAGCCGAGGTAATTGCTCTTTCCCTTGGAAACAAAGCTGGGGTGGTCTGGAGAGGCGATGGAGAGGGCTGGGAGTGCCAGGTGGAAACCGGCCAATCAGGCCATGAGATGACCATTTCCCTGCCCTGTGGGAAACATCTGAGGACGCTGGGGCCAGATGTGTTGATTCAGTTCTCTCACTGGTGTGATAAAATCCTCATCAAGAGCATTTCTTCCTTGCAAGCCAGCAGCTTAGGACCTCAGCCTGTTCCAATCTTTCCTTCTTTCTCAAGAGTTCTCTCCCTGGTTTCTGGAGTACATCTCCTCTTATGGAAGAGCGTCAGCTGCTTCTGCACTGTCAGCGGGAGTAGAGCACTTTGCTCTGCTCTGGAGGCACATCTGATGTCTGGGTATCCGCCAAGCCCCTGCTGCCTGGCCTCCTCACGCCCAGCCTGGCCTGCCCACCCCTCCCCCCCAGCGCAACTTCTGCTTCCTTCCTCAATCGCCACCATCCATTCTCCATTGAAGAGCTGCTTATTGATCTTGGCCCATTCCTCAAAGTGGCTGCTCTCTAATTCCATCCTCTGCCGGACACTACAGGAGTTACATCCTCCCCAGGGAAGCAGCCAGTTTGGGGAATGGGCAAAGGGGGGCTAGGGATTCCTCTCCACGCACCTTGCCTGCTTTTTTCCCATTCTAAGCACCGGGGTCAGACTTTGACTGATTTGCCACGTTGTTTGCAAGACAGAAAACATGACTGGCCCCCTCTCTCACCAGTGTGATCTCAAATGCAAGAAGAGGAAAGCGACTGACCAGTCAGGCAGGAGTCAGACCAGTGTGGTGGTTTTAGGGGAATAGGTACGCACGTGGCCTCCTGAGTGAGGATAGAGCGGTTTTGCCAGGGCACAGTGGCAGCCAGAGCAATGGGCCCCTCCCCCTGCACCTTTCCCTCAGGGCTGAGCAGGAGGCTTGTGGTGTGCAGTGCTACACCTGGGCCCTGCCAGAACAGGAGTTGACGTTAGGGCTGGGTCAGGCCATGATTTTTCATGCCCCCAAGCAAGTCACTTAACAAGTTCTTCCATAAAGCAACAATCATTCCTACCCTGGTTACTGTTCAGGGGATTATGGGAAAGAGTACATGAGAAGGTCCTAGGACACAATGAGTGTTACAGCAGTGTAAAGTCTAAACATCTGTGCTTCGACCCTTGAGGAACGGGAAAGGCGATCCCTTGCCACATGCCCAGCCCTGGCTACATGTGCTCTGGCAGCCTCCCGTGTGCGGGCCTGGCAAGGCTGGGCGACCCCACCCTCATTTTACTGAAACCTCGTTAGTGCCCCTTTAGCCCACCTTAGAAGTCATAAGAGACTCACAAGAGAGCCTCTAAATTGTGAAGCACACCTGGGGAGGCAGGGACAGAGAGTCACCTCTCACTCACCTTCTTGCAGTCCAAAACAAGACTGAAAAATTTTTAAAAATGCAATTTTTATTTGTTGAACATAATTTGAAACTATAACAAAAACATTTCTTCATCTATTACCAGAAACCCAGATAATAACTGGAGAGGGCTGGCCCTTCACCTTGGTGAGGGATTGAAAAAATAAAGGTCCTGTGCATCCCTGGTCCTCCCTCCGGGTTCCCTACAGAATGCCCAGGCACTGACAGGGGAAGTTGGGAAAGTTGGTGGGGAAGCCAGAGGTCACAGAGTGCTGGAGGCCGGGCTTTCAGCCATGGCTAGGCCAAAATGAAACATCTGCTCAAGTCTCCCCAGGCACCTGGCTGGGGGCGAGTGGGAGGAAAGAATGGAGAAAACTGATGCTGAACCACAAATTACCACCCTGTACCTTGGCCCCGAAATGGTCTCTGTTGGCACAGGAGGGGCTGGGATTAACAGAAAATAAATAAAAGTGACATACTTCAAGGAAGGAGGGTGACAGACTCTCGGAAGAATCCTATGTCCTTGCTTGACAGGGATAAGGCAGGGCATGATGATTTAAAAAAAACCTGGTATGAGGCCAAGGGCATCAAAATACTAAACACAGAAGGGGGAGTGTCAGGGAGGGGGCTGTTCATTAGGGGGACTATGGGGGGGATTCCGGCTGAGTGTGGGTGGGCTCTCCTGGCAGCCCTCATTTTTCTTTTCTGCATAGCCACAGTGCAAGAATTAGGAAACCCAGGCTGCCCTCTACTGGTGACTCCTGGGAATGACCACAATACAGCTGCATCCAACCTGAAACCCCAAAGGACCAGGAGAAGCAGCCCCCAGGACAATCCAGGATGGCAACACCACTCAGTCCAGAGGCATGACTGGGCCTCTTAGAGGGAGGCTGGGAGTGTTCCCATGGACTATTCCTCTTCACGGCCTGGCCTGCAGAGGGGCCTGGACAAGTAAGGCTTCTGTGCTCACTTCAAAGGCAGGGAGAAGAACTTGTTCCCAGACTTGCAGCGCACCTGCTCGGTGAGCACGCGGAGCAGCATCTCAGAATCCTCAAACTCATCCAAGATTTCCTGCAGCCAGCAGCGGGACAGCACGGTCACATTAAGGGAAATCCCAGACCCAGAGGACATGGCAAACAAAAGCAGCCTTGTGAATTCCTTCAGAGGGTAGACAATGCTGAGGGGGAGGCAGCCGCACAGTCCCCGGCTCTGCAGGAGCTGTCTGGTCTAATCACCTCTGCAATTTTGTGCCATCCATCTACCACCCCAACTTATAGATGAGGACACAAAGCTCAAAGCTCTGGGTTTCAGAAACCAGGGGGACCAGGACTGGGACCCAGGTCTGCTAGAGTCAGAAGTCCGTGCTCTCTGTTTCTCCCAGCATGACCGAGGCAGAGCAGGGAGGCTACTCCATGATGGTCTGTGGGCTGCACAGAATCTGTTTGCCTTACAAAGTGTTTTTAAAAATCGACATCATTTTCCAATATTTGAAAACTGGGAGATACACATAAAAATCTGCATTTCTGGCTTCTCTTGAAAAACAGAAGTGCCAGCTAAGCAGCATAAGCCACATTCCCACATGGCCTGCCTCCCCACCGGGGGCAGAGCATCAGCTGCCGGTCACTGCTGCCCATGTACTGTTGGTTCTTCCCCAGGGGCACTAATGGGAGGGTAAAACATCTCACCTACTATCAAATTGTGCTAGGTTCTGGGGGCTGGGTGTTCCTTACACCTGGCACCCTGCACTCACTCCCAGTACAGGCCAAGCCCAAGCCTTGCAGGGAAAACCAGCAGCCTCCTCACAGCCTCCTGCAACACACATCCCTAGGGATCTTATTAAAATGCATTTCTGCTTTCCTAGGCAAGGGGTGGGATCAAAGCAATAGTATTTCTAATAAGCTTCCAGGTACTGCTGGTGCTGCTGGTCCACGGACCACACTTTGAGTTGCAAGGTAACGTTTGAGGGGTTTTTTTGTGTTTTTTTTTTTGCCATTTCACTGGCTTCCCAGGCATACAGGTTTGGATGCTTAGTCCTTCCCCTCCCCAGTGTCCACCTTGTCCTTCCAGAGTTCAGCACTCTCTGCTCCTGCCCTGGGAATTTACCTGTAGTTCCTGCAGGCACTGTCCTTCTAGCTGGGGACGAGCATCGCCCACACACCAGGCCAGACTGATGTGGAATGAAGGGTCCTGTAGAGGAAAAGAGGGATGCAGGCTATCACCTGGATGCCACAGCAGGTCTGGGACAGAGCTGTCAGGATATTCTTGCTGGATCCCTGGCCTGTCTGAGAGATCTGACCCTTAGCGTTGATCCCAAGGACAGCAGAAAGATAAAATAGCCTGCAGTTGGTCTTATCCCCTTCCCCAAATTCACATATTGAAGACCTAACCCCACCATTTTGATGGCATTTGGAGAGGGGCCTATGGGAGTAATTAGGGCTAGATATGATCACGAGGAAGGGACTCTCATGATGGGGTGAGTGCCCTTGGCAGGAGAGACTCTGGGGATCTTGTGCACTCCCACTTCTCTCCTCCAGGAGGGGAGGGCACAGTGGAAGGAACTGGTCTATAAGCCAGAGTCCTTACCACAAACCAACCCGGCCAGCACCTGGATGTTGGATAACTAGCCTCTAGAAAGTGAGGAAACAAATTTCTGTTGTTTTAGACACCCAGTTTATGGTATTTTATTATGGCAGCTTGAGCTAAGACAATCCGTTCTGAGAGGCTTTCCTTTAAATATCATACAGAGAGTCATTAAATCTGGGGATATGGAAGAGAACCCAGGATCTGACTCTGTTTTCCGATCTAGAACATCCTAACAGATGCCATACTTTTCAGATGAGATGAACAAAATTCAAAACATCTAAAATTTTAAAGAAATAATACTTATTTCCATTCAAGTTCATTGTTAAATATTTCAGCATGATTTTAAAAAATATATCAAATAAAATCAATGGGCCCTTTAAAGCCTTGACATTCCACCTGGACTCTTCAGTACCCCCAGAGAGCACGTGGCAGGTGCAGTAAAGTATGCAAAGCTACAACTATTCCCAGAGGGTCAATTTTGCTAAAAATTGTGGGAGATACTACTTCTTAAGAAATATAAAACAAACATGGAGACATTATGCAGTAGGAGACATACTGGACCATATTTAAAATATGGAGTTTTAAAAAACGTTAGACTTTGGATGGGCCGCATCTAGCTGCACCTCAGACCCCTCACCTCCCAGTGGCATGTGTCCTCTGTGGGCTGGCATCTGGGACACTCCATACAGCAAAGTCTGGAGGGCTCTTTAATTTGCCTCTGATGAAGGCTTCTTTAAGGATGGCTTTATTCCAGTTAGAGACGGGCCAGTGGAGAAGCAGCAGCCCGTTGAAGAGATAATAAGTATCTCCATTCTTTATCTCCAACCCTGTTCATTACCGGATAGAAAGTGGTGAGGTCGAATTCCTCCATGACTCTGTCAACCTCTGAAACCAGGTCCAGGCACTCGGCATGCCCTGAAGTGACCTCAAGCCCAACAAAGGTCCTAGGGAGAGGCAGATGCAAAGGAAACATGGGCATGAGATGCAGCCTCTGAGGGCACAGACCACCCAAGGAGGAGCGGGATGCACCAGGCAGGAAGCCTGGCCATAGGCTCACTCCACCTCCCTCCTGAGCTTCCAGGGCTGCTCCATAAGCCTCTCCTTCCTCCTCCTCCGTCTCTAAACCTTCTTTCCCCAGGTTCAACCCACATGGCTCCTGTTGCTACTGCTCTGCACTCTGCCCCCTGGGTCCACCTCTTCCCACAGTGCTCAGGCCGCTCTCCTGTGCAGAACCATGTAGTATGGTTAAAACCCTTCCTGACCCACACCTTCAGCCAGCCCCCATCCTGTTCTCAGGAAAACTTCTTAAAAAGGTGTTTGGTCTAGCTTCCCTGTCCCCTACTTCCTTGCCTCCTGTCTCCAAACCTTTGGCAGGAGTGCCTGCCAGTTGCTGATTGCTGATGACCTCCGTGTCACTAAAGCCAAGGATACTCCTCTGTTCTCACTTGTTCAGCGGTATGTGACGCTGCCAATTCCTCCCTCCTGGAAACCCAGTAGCTTAATAAATTTGTAGAGCACAGAATGAAGGAAGGAGTGAGCCCTTTCAGAGGTGCTGAGAGAGGGTGGCTCAGTGAGTGGAGGGGACATGGAGGCTCGCTCTGAAACCTTGGTAATGATAATTTCTTCTTATATTCATTTAATGCTTTTAAAATCCACTGGGCTCTTTTGAGCCTCACAACTGCCCAGCAATGGATGAATCAAGGGGAGGTGTGTGATGGTGTCACTGTGGGGATGCTGGTGTAGCACACAAAGGTCAGAGAGCAGAATGTGTGAGATAAAGGTTAAAACTAGGGATGCAGACGGGCAGGAGCAGGTTTTCTACCTTCACAGCTTTCTTCCCTATACGAGAAGGGCCCCATCTGCTCCACCTCTGGGACCCCTCCCGATGTTCCCCCAGTTATTTTTGTTTCATTTTTGTATCACTGAGGATTGAACCTGGGGCCTCATAGTTCAGGCAAGCGATCTATCACAGAGCTACATCCCAGCCCTTTTTACTTTTTGAGACAGGGTCTCGCTAAATTGCCCAGGCTGGCTTTGAACTTTGATCCTCCTGCCTCAGCCTCCTGAATGTCTGGCATTATAGGCATATGCCACCATGCCTGGCCTCCCAGTTCTTTTTCTTAATGAAAATTCAGATTTGGGAACAGCTTCCCTATAATCTGGCAGACTTGGTTAAAAATTTAACAAAAAGCACTCCACCAAAGACTCTTCTTCTGGTAGTGACTTGGGATCAGGGGGACACACCTGGTCTTCTCTTGATTAGTATAAATCTTTACACGGTTGGCAGTAAAGAAGAATCTGAAATTTAGAAGAAAAAAGATCATATTTCAGGAAGAATAAGAAAAAACAAACAGAAAAATAGTTTGATAAATAGCACTTGAGAAATAGAACTTTATACTTAATATTGTCACCTCATTATATAAATGGTAAACTGAACCCTAATTAGAGCTAGCAAGACCTTAACATCACCCTGTACAAGTATATGTAGTATCATTTAGATGCTAGCAAAAAATTTTTATTTTGATAAGAGCAGTTCATTCCAAACAATTTGAGACTATCTCAACTTTACTGATGGGAACTGAGAAAGTCTTAATCACCAGTGGGTGATAACAAATCATATGAGGGCCAAATTGTGCCTTGCAGGTTAAAACAAGGACAACACTGATTTAGTCTAAGCAATAACAAGAACACTTCCCATGTGCAAGGGCTGAGCTACGGGTTTGGGGCTTATCAGCTCACGGGATCCTCACATGAGCCTTTGAGGCAGGCACTATAATTATGCCCATTTTATAGACAGGGAAACTGAAGCTTTCGAGGCAGGATTTGAACCTCCGTCTGCCTGACAAAGCCCGTGCTCTCTCCTATGAGGCTCTAGGAAGAGTGGATGGGTCTCCAATGGTGTGAAAGGAGGCAGAAACAGGCCCCCACTGACCCCTCAGATGAGTGACATGGGGACCAGTCAGGTTCAGTCAGTTAGGTGCTGGCTGTGTCCTAAAGACACTGGTGATCGCAAAGGGACAGACTGGCTTCTTGCCCCTCGTGGACCAACTTGGCAAGTCCCATCATAGGAAAAGATAATTTCACAGCCTCCAGGCCAAAGGATTCATCCCAGTGAAAGGAATGAACATATCTGTGGCTGGACAGAGCCTCACAAACCTGTCCATGTGCATGAAATCAGCCAGCCAGCGCCCTGCCTCCCCGCTCAGTATCCCTTTTGGGGAAAATGTAAGGGATGACAGAACCACTAGTTCCTGGGAAAGCACAGATTTTGGAAAGAGTTCTGGAAGGTGTCGGATAAGTGTTCTGCCGTCGACACTGGATGTTGTGTCCAGCCACCGCCCCTTCAGCTGCAGGCACTGACCTAGGCCTGGCCTGTCAAAGCAGAGAGTGCCCTCAGTGGCAGCAACAGAATCCGGGGTGCACTGCTTGTTCTCAGTCATCTTGGACTCAACCTGACAATCAAGCTCAAAGAGGCCATGGCTGGCTGGGCCCCACTCAGGACACAGAGCAAGAAACACTGAGCCACGGGGCACATCAGATGCATTTCCTCAGAGGGAACCAATCCAGCAATCCAGGGGCAGTTATCTGGAGCTGTTTCCCAAGTAAACAAGGGAAAAACCCACCTATGTACTCCTTGGGTACCCCTCGGGTACTCTAGAAATAACTCTTGGGTGAAGTTTCCAGAGTCTTAGTGGGCACCTGCCTATCAAAGAACAAGTGGGTTCAAGGAGGCCCAGAACTGTGACTTCCCACCAGGGGCCTCGTTTTCTTTGTCTTGCACCCTGGGCAACTCTGCTGTTCCCGGACCTAGAACTTATTGACAAGCTGCCCTTGGTCAGGGAACAGTGTTCTAGCAGAGAAAGCTTCTTAAGTAGAAGGAGAAAGGGTTTTTTAACTCTTCACTCACAAAAGGGAGAGCATGAACACCAAGCCAAACCAGTCCAAGTCTTTTGTGACTTTTGCTGAAGTTATTTGAAAAGTGGGCTGTTGGGGGCAGGGGGGTGGCTCAGTGGCAAAGGGCTTGTCTAGCATGCCTGAAGCCCTCAGTTCTGTTCCTGACAAAAATAAAAACAAAAACAAAAACAAAAAAGTAAAGAAGAGCACTATGGGTTGGGTTTGTGGCTCAGAGGTAGAGCGCTTGCCTAGCATGTGTGAGGCACTGGGTTCGATCCTCAGCACCACATAAAATAAATAAAGATATTGTGTCCACTTATAACTAAAATATTAAAAAAAAAAAAAAAGAAGAAGAGGGCTATCTTACTAGGCAGGTCAGCCTGGAGATGCTAGTGTCCCCTCAGGTGCACAGAGCTGAGACAGTAAGAGCCAGGTGCCATCTAACATCTTCCGGTGACCTCCACTCCCTCATCATGAAGCTAGCGCTTCCTCTGAACTTTGTAGCTATACCAGCCTATAAATCCCCCTTTGTGTTAAGCCACTTTGGGTTGAGTTTCTGGTATCTGTGACCAAAACAGTCCTGATAGTATACATAAAGTTCAGTAAATTTGATATGGCAATAAAAAAGGAGGTGGGCTAGGCTTGGAGAACAGATGAGCTTCAGTCCTGATCTTCTAGATGACTGACTGGCTTGGAGTAAATCTTCCCCTCTAGCCCTCAGAAAGGGTTCAACTAGTTAGGTCGAACCTATTAGTTGGGCAAAGCCCTTCACTAGAATTTCTGGGCCTAGGGCTTCTTGAGCTGTGGGTATGGGCCTTGGCTAGGAGACTTCTATTTCTTTTTCACTCAGGGCCTTGTGCAAGCTACGCAAGCACTGTACCACTGGGCTACACCCCCAGCCCAGAGACTTCTATTTCTACCTGTCTCACACATCTACACAGTGGGTGTCTGTGGAACACCTCATTTGGAAAAAGCTCTGCAGATAAAAGCAGAGTCCCAGCCTTCAGTGGACCCACCGAACTCTAAGAGAGGTGTCCTCCAGGCTCCGCTCCCTCCTGAATGTCCAAGCACTCAGCAAGCATCTATTTAATGGCATGATTAACCAGAGCACCTGGAGAAGGCTGTGGGTTATTCAGAGAGAAGCTATAGTCCTGCTGGGGGGAACCTGGGCTCCAGAAGGGAAGAGGGACATGGGAATGAGTGGAGGTGAGGAGTAATGAGCTCTAGGCTGTAAACAATGCCAATTCCCAGATACTGACGATCTTGAGGACTGAGGAGTTCTGGGGCACATGCCATCTGGTAGAGAGAGCAGGAGGGTCCTTTTTTTTTGTACTGGGAATTGAACCCAGGGGCACTTTACCACTGACTATATCCCCACCCTGTTTTATTTCTTGAGGTCTGGCTAAGCTGCTTAGGGCCCTGCTAAATTGCCAAGACTGGCCTTGAACTTGTGATCCTCCTGGCTCTGCCTCCCAAATCATTGGTATCATAGGCATGTGCCACCTGCAAGAGCAGGGTTCTGATCTGCTCAAGTCTAGCAGGAAAGGCATTTCTGTAGGAGAATGGCATGAACTAGTTAAGGGGGGAAATGCCATAAGCCCATAGACAAAACCAGAAGTAGGGTTCAGTTCTGGCCCTTTACCAAGTGCCATGCTGAGGGGCAGGCAGGATTTCAGTCACCATAAGCTGCCTCTGAGGCAGACATCTTCCCATGACCTGTATGCAGATATGAGAAATTAAGAAATCTATATTGGTCACTGCTTCAGTTCTTGACACAGAGCTCCTAAACCCATATAAGTTCCTAAACAGTAAGGGTGCTGAGACCATCTTTCCTTCTATTATTTAGTGTTTGACAGGTTCCTTACACAGCGTTCCTAAATCCTTTGGAACTTTCTGCAACTCTTGCTGGACTCCTATAAGAGTGACAGTCACCTGGAAAGAGCAAGCCATGATTAGAAGCCCGGACTTTCAGCCCTACACCCCCATCCTTTGCGGAGGGGAGAGGAGCTAGAGTTAATAATGCCTTCATACTGAAACCTCCAGAAGAATCCCTAACGCCCAGGTTTGAAGAGTTCCTTCTGGTGAAGAATGCATGGTGCGCTGGAGACAAGCTCCTGAGCCTGGCACCATTTCAGACCTCACCCTATGTGTGTCTTCATCTGCCTGTTCATTTGGACCCCCTAAAATATCCTTTAAAGGATCCAAATTGATAATCTATTAAATGAACTGTTTTGAGTTCTGTGAGCTGTTTTAGCTAATGATCAAGCCTGAGGAGGGAGTCACAGAAACCTCTGAATTATAGCAAAATTGAAAAAGAGTTGTGGGTAACATGGGATCCAACATGAGAAGCTAGCATCTGAAGTGGAGGGCAGTCTCGTGGGACTGAGCCCCTAACCTGTGATGTGTGCACTAACTTTGGGTCATTACCATCAGAACTGAACTAAAATTTCAGGATATCATGTGGCTACAGTTGTGTTAGAAATGTTGAGTGAGAGTGTAGAGAAAGAGAGCAAAGATTTCCTATATGGCATGTAAGAAACTAGAAGTATAAAGAATTTATAATGTGCCCAAGGTCACATGGGATGAGATGTACCTCAGGTGGCCCCAGGAGATGTTTCAATGTTCCTGTGTTCTATTCCTTTTGCTGGGATAATGAAACTCATACCTCCAACCTGCATAGCTCAGGAAAGGGGGAGAAGCCTTGGAGGGAACAGCCAGAGGCCCAGGGAAGCGCTCACCTCTGGAAGGAGGCCATGCGGTCTTTCAGAGCCTGCACGAAGGGGAGGATCCAGTGGTGACGCAGAACCACACTCTGAGACAGGCTGAGGTGGAAGGCCTCCATCCTCACCAGCCAGGGCACATAGGTCTGTGCGTGGGGTAGCAACAGATCAAGCAGCTCCAGAAACTCCTCCCTGGCTTCATCTGGAAGGAAGAGTGGAGCGGGTGGGCTGTTGTCTTAGCCAAGGTGTCAAGGCTGAGTGAAAAAGCCCAGAAGGCAGAGAGAAGCCCATATTACTCTGGGTTTGAGTCTGTATCTATAAAGCTTAATAAAATTTAACATGCATTTCTGGTTAAAGAAGTAATATGTGCTCACTGAAAAGAATTCAGGTAAACAAGATACACACAGGGAGGAGACTTCAGGTTTATAGTCCAGCATTAAAAAGCATGGAAGTTGCCGGGTGCAGTGCTGTACTCCTGTAATCTCAGCGGCTAGGGAGTCTGAGGCAGGAGGATTGTGAGTTCAAAGCCAGCCTCTACAACTTAGTGATGAACTAAGAAACTCAACAAGACCCTGTGTCTAAATAAAATACAAAAAAGGGCTCAGGATGTGCCTCAGTGGTTAAGTGTCCCTGAGTTCAATCCTCAGTACCAAAAAAAAAAAAAAAAAAGTTTGGAAGTTGTCACTTCATGCTAACAACAAGTAAAATGTTCAGCAAACTAAGAAAACAACAGCTCTTCTTAGATCTATAAGAAAAGTGAGTGACACACAGCTGAATACAGAGGCTCACAAATTATTGGACCAGACATACATGAGCTGAAACCTGTGTGAGAACAAGGGCTAGCGCAGGGAGGCCTAAATCGTAATAGAAAAATTGCTGGAGACTCAGGGTATACAAATCTGAAAGTTAAAAACTCTAAGAGGATGTGGGTTGTGGGACATACACATATGCACACTGCTTTCTGAGGGTTAGGATCTGGAACTCTACCAGGTTCTCCCAGAATTTTGGAGAAAAGTCATCTTGTGCTTCTGGCCCTTCTGGCACAAGGGGATAGAAAGAAACCATTTAGAAATTCTGTTTTTCTTAAAAGGTCTGCCCTTAGGTTTAACCAGAGCCTGACCTGCAGGTGTTTTAATAGAAGCCCTACTGACCTGGGGGAAGGGAAATAACTTCAAACTGGCTCTCGCCTTGCTGTCCACAGTCCAGAGGCACAGGCTCACTTAAATGACTGGGACCTGATCACAGGGCTGTAGAATGCTTCCCCTTCATGCCTCACCATGTTACTGAAGGCCTGTTTACCATGTCCCTGTTATGCAATACATCATATCCAGCTATGAAGAAAATATGATAAAACATAATAAAAGGCAAAAAATACAGTTTAAAGAGGTATCAGAACATACAGTTTTAAGTAGGTATCAGAACCCCTTAACAAATTAAAAAGACTAGAAATCATACATTGTCTGACTTTGGGCCACAATGGAATTAAACTAGAAACTGATAACAGAAAGACAACTGGAAAATTCCCAGATACTTAGAGACTAAACAACACACTTTTAAATAACACCTGTGTCAAAGAAGAAATCTCAGGAGAAATTTGCAGATTTTGTTTTTTTGAGACAGAGTCTCCTTAAGTTGCTGAGGCTGGCCTTGAACATGCAATCCTCTTGCCTAGGTCTACCACCAGTTGCTGGGATTATAGGCAGGTACCACCTACAAGTATTTTTAAGTAAATGAAAATGAAAACAACTCATCAGAACTTGTAGGATGCAGCAAAAGAGGTGCTTGGAAGAATACTTATATCACTAAAGGCACATATTAGAAGATCTAAAATCGATCCTCTAAACTTCCTCTTTAAGAATCTAGAAAAAGGTTGGCTGGGGATGTGGCTCAAGCAGTAGCGCGCTCGCCTGGCATGCGTGTGGCCCGGGTTCAATCCTCAGAACCACATACAAACAAAGATGTTGTGTCTGCTGAAAACTAAAAAATAAATATTAAAAAATTAAAAAAAAAAAGAATCTAGAAAAAGGGGCTGGGGATGTGGCTCAGTGAGAGGCACTGGGTTCGATTCTCAGCACCACATAAAAATTAAAAAAATAAAGAAATATTGTGTCCACCTAAAAATAAAAAATAAATCTAGAAAAGAACAAATTCTATTCCAAGTAAGCAGAAGAAAAGAAATAATACAAATCAGCAGAAATTGATGAAATTAAAAACAGGAAATTGAGGGCTGGGGATGTAGCTCAAGCGGTAGCGCGCTCGCCTGGCACGCGTGCGGCCCGGGTTCGATCCTCAGCACCACATACAAACAAAGATGTTGTGTCCGCTGAAAAAACTAAAAAATAAATATTAAAAATTCTCTCTCTCTCTCTCTCTTAAAACAAACAAACAAAAAAAAACCCTGGAAATTGACAGAACTGGCAGGTATAGTTTGAATATGGGTCTTCCAAAGGTTTATATTGCTATATTGTTTATTAGTTATTAGAATTGATAAGATAAACTTCATTATGAGCTAGGGTTGAGGCTCAATGGTACAGTGCTTGTCTTGCATGTTTGAGGCACTTGGTTCAATTCTCAGCACCATTTAAAAATATAATAAGCAAAATAAAGATATTTTTAAAAAGGTAGACTTCATTAAACTTAAGAACTTCTGCTTTGAAAAAGATATTAAGAGAATGAAAAGCTACAGACTAGGAAAAAATACATTTGCAAAAGATATGTCTGATTAAAAATACAGAAAAATATAGAAGAAACTCTTAAAATGAAACGTAAGAAGATAAACAATTTGATTATAAGGTAGGACAGAAATCTGATTCGCACCTCACCAAAGAAGCTATACAGATAGCAAAAAGCACCTGAAAAGATGTCCCACATCATATGTCACCAAGGAAATGCAACAATACAGCTGTTAAAATGGCTAAACTCCCGAATACTGACAATACCAAATGCTAACAAGGACACAGAGTACCAGGAACTCTGATTCATTACTGTTGGGAATGTAAAATGGCACAACCACTGCCAAGGACAGTTTGGTGGTTTCTTACACAACTAAACATAACCGTTACCACACAATCCAGCAACTGCCCTCCTTGGTGTTTACCCAAAGAAGTTGAAAACTTACGTCTACATGAAAGCCTATACACAGATGTCTATATTTTATTCATAACTGCCAAAACTTGGACGCAATCACAAGTATCCATCTTTAGTAGGTGAATGGATAAATAAATTATGGTACATCCAGACAATGGAATGTTATTTAGTACTAAAAAAAAAAAAAAAGTGAACTGTCAAGCCATGACACACATGGAGGAACCCTCAATATGTATTACTAGGTGAAAGAAGCCAATCTGAAAAGGCTACCTACTAAATGATTCTGACTCCATGGCATTCCGGAAAGGGTAAAACTATGGAGATGGTTAAAAGATCAGTGGTTCACAGAAGCGAGGAAGCAGGGGAGGGATGGATAAGAGGAGAGGATTCTTAGGGCAGTGAATTATATGATTCTATAATGGTACCACAAGTCTCCCCACAGAAGGTACAACACCAAGAGTGAACCCTAATACAAACTTTGGAGTCTGGGTGATGGTGATGTACCAATGTAGGCTCATCAACTGTGACAAGTGCACCATTCTTGGTGTGGGATGTTGTTGATAATGGGAGAAGGCTACACAAAATAATAAGAGCCACCACCTACTTGTGTATTGTACTAGGAACCTGACAGAAATTATCTAAGTTCATCTTCCAAAGATAGGTATTACTATTATCTCCTTTTTGGAGGTGAGAAAACTGAGATCTGAGAAGTCCAAAGGACACCCAGAGCAGTAGATAGTAGACGAAGTCTGACTCTGGGCATTTTTTTTTTGCCTGCTATCCACTTATCAGGGCTGGGGTGGCACAGACAGGGTTCTGGTTTCTTCCTCTTAGTTGTGGCTAAATACATCAAGAGGCACCTATTGGTCTCAATTGTTTGCCTGTCATACATGACTCACATGGTAGGTAGACATGGGTGGCCCAATTGCCTCGCTCATGGGGAAAGGTGCGCACACGTCCCCCATGTTTTGCACTGTCATCCTCAGGCCTCTCCTCTGTGCTGGGGAACATGTTCAGTACACTGTCGGGCACTGGAAACCTCTGACTAGGATCAGGACTCTGGCCACTGCAGAAGAAAAAAGGAAACAAGTACATTTATCTTTTTAGCATTGTCTGCTTTTATACACCCAACAAAAGCTGTAACCCCTTATAAACATGATCTTGAGTGTGGTTTTCCAGGCAAGTACATGAGGCAGCTTCTAGAAAGTCACAAAGCTTTCTCCCAAGTATTTGCACTGGAGTCTCTCAACAAGTCTGGGAAGCAGACCTTAGAATGAAGCATGGTCCCCATGAGAAACACTCGGGCAGGCAGCAAGGTGTGGTTTAGATATCACATCCCTGGTTGGACAGGCCTGAGATGGAGCAGCATTTTCTAGCTCTGTGATCTTGGGCAAGTGATGTACCCTTTCTGAGATACATGTTTCCTCATGTGTTAACTGTATTTCTACCTGACAAAACTACTAGGCCATCAACAGTGATACTGCTTGTAAAGCACTCAGCAAAGATAGTTACTTAAGAACCTAGGGCCCACAAAAAAAAAAAAAAAAAAAAAAAAACCCAGACTTTCAAGGCTTTTGTCCACTTAAGTTCCCAGTCTCCAGTTTGGCTCAGACTAGGTGCTCAATGAGTATTTGTTGGATGAATTAAAAGGCTCTCCAAATGTTGTGTGTGGGGAAGGCAGTGTATGTGGTTCTGGAGATCCTAGGGCACTTTACCATAAAGCTGCCTTCTCAGCCATCCCCTCTTAATTTTATTTTTAGACAGAGTCTAAGTTGCAGGAGGCCAGCCTCGAAATTGTGATCTTTTTGCCTCAGCCTCCCCGGGTCTCTGACATGTGCCACGGCACCCGGGTCTCCATAAGCTTAAGCAACTATTATCACTGCAATTGTGTTCAAATGAGGAAACAGACCTGGGACGGTGTGCTACCTTCCAGAACACAGAACCCGCCAGCGTCCCAGGTTGGACCCGAGCTGGCGTCCTGCCTCCCAACCTTGCCGGAGCCTGGTGGGGGTACTCTGGGGCTTTGTCCAGGGGTGCCCTTTGGATCCTCCTTTCCCGCTTTTCTTTCCCCGGGAACCGCCTCCCCTCCCCAGTCGACAGATGCTCGGGTCTAGCGGGGTTCTCAAGCAAATCCGCGCCTCGGCGAAAGAGACTTCCTCGATCCTCACCGACGACAGTGCCCAGCCCCGGGCCTGGTCCGCCCCTCGGTCGCGGCCTCGATCTCAGCCTCAGCCTCGTCCTCATCTTCGGAGCCGCTGCTGCTGTAGCCCACCAGGGGTCCAGCGCTCATGGGGCCTTGTGCGACACCTTCACCGGGCAGGGCCACAGGCAACCTCAGCCCGCACCCCGCGTTCCGCTAAGCCGGAAGTGCTCCCGGGGGGGCGGGGTTAGGGTATCACCGCCTCGGGGCGGGGCCGGGCGGGGCCAGAAGGGGCGGGGCCAGAAGGGGCGGGACCCGCGGGACACTAGCGAGAACGGTGTCCGCGATCTGCACGCTGTCCGCATGCTGTTTGCCCGCTGGCTGCGCGTGGAGGGCTACCGGGCCTCCCGGAGCCTCCCCGCTCCATCCTTGGTGTGCCCGTTTCACAGGTCCCGGGGCCCCCTCCTCAAACCGGTTCAAAGTCCGAGCCCCGGGGCCGCTGCTCTCAGAGCTAAGCCGAGCGGTTTAGACGCGCGTCGGTTCCCGAAGATGAGAGGGTCCAGGCGGGCTCTCGCTGTCAGGTGCAGGAGTCGGGCGGGGGGCGGAACCGGCAGTTGTCTCCCCTGAGGCCGGGTTGGGTGGGCGCGAACTGAGCGCCCTCCCTTGGTCAGCCGAAGCGCGCCGGCCCGGCCTCGGTAGCCACAGTCTGGCGCACCCGGCGTGTCCGACCCGGCCAGGCCGCGGGGTCCCCGGCAGGGGGCGGCCTCGCTCCGCGCCGCCCGCTCCTCCCGCAGCGGCCGCCGCCGCCGCCGCCGCCGCCCCGGCTACCGCTCCTCCCCCAGCCCCGCCTCCTTGGCCCCCGCGCCGCCCGCTCGTCCGCCTGTCTCAGCAAGGCCATCGGTCCGTCCGCCCGCCCTCCCGGCGCTCCTCCGCCCCGGCCCCGCTAGCCTGGACGCGCGCGTAGCTTCCTCCGTTCCGGTCGCCGCAAGCCGGTTCCCCGCCCCCGGGCCGGCCGCCACCTCTACGCTAGGCCGGGGATTGGCAGCGCGCGTAGGCCGCGCCGCCGCTGATGGAGCTGGAATAAAGGGGCGGCCGAGAGAGCAGCTGGTCGCCGCTTGCCCCGCGCCTGGCCCCGCGGGCGGCCTGGAGCAGGTGAGCGGCGGGGCGCCCGGGGCTGCGTCTGGGGGCCACTCCCGCTGCCGCCGCACCCGTTCCCTAGTCGGCCGGGCCGCCCCCCACCCCCGCCCCTCCGACCCGACCCGGCGGCCTCCTGAGTTCCTGGGCGGCCCAGGCCCGGCCTCCAAGCACAGCCGCTTCCCGGGCCGGGCCTGCGTCCCTGGGGCCTTCCTGGGGCCCAGGCACCCGCTCTCGGGCGGCAGGGGCTCGGCCCTCCAGGCGAGGGCTGACAGGAGGCAGCCCAGCTGGGCCGGCGGGTAGGGCTGGGTGGGAGGTGATCTGCTTTCATTTCTTTTCCTAGGGAGGAGGAAGAACTGGGGTGGGGCGCAGGTGGGGGCCTCCCTTTGCCTCCCCTCCACTCCCCTCATCTCTCCTTCCTTTTGTGGAGTGATTAGATAGGTTTCCTGGCTGCACCTTCCGGGAGGAGGATCAGGGTGGGCAGTGGGATTGCGCCCCAGGGGCCCCGGGCTCTGGCAGCCATTTATGCCAGAAAAAGAAACAACCACCACACAGTTGGATTGATGCAGCCAGACCTCGAATGTGCTCAGAGCAGCCACCTTTCTCCTCTGCCTGCTTAGATTACCAAGTGGTACCTGCTTGTTCATGCAACCTGCTGCCTCCACCAAAAGCAGCAGCCCCTTTCCTTCCTCCCTTCCCAGAAGATGCTGAGGATGACAGCTTTTAGCTTCACTCTTATATTTCTTTGACAGAACAGTTAGAAGTTAGGCTGGCCTATGAGGACATACTTTACCCTTCCTCCTCTCAGGAGAAAACTTACAAACTTTTCAACTTCAGAGGCGGATGAGCTGGAAACCTGAAAGTGGGTTGCCTGTGACTCTAAAAATTCCTCCCGCTCTCTGGCATTATCATATGCTGCCACAAAGTGGTGAGTTAGAGATTTGCCTAGGCTGGGTGGGCTTTACCTTGCATTGATTACCCAGAATATTATAGCCCTGGAGCAAGGTAACAGGTTGTCTCCAGAAGGGAGATGGAGAGAGATGCTCTGTTGTTACATGGCTGAGACAGACCAGTGCAGTTTCTCACATTTTTCTGCAGGCATTGACAGCCAGCCAGAGAGATTCAGAGGATTTAGAACTTTTTTTTTTTTTTTGGTTTTGGTTTTCTGAAAGATGGCTAAAGTAAAGACATTCTGCTCTGTGGACAATGAGACTGGGTGGCTCTGGGAACCTAGCTCCTATCATCTGTGGGTTTAGGTCTCTGCCAGGCCATCCATCCTATTATGTGGCAAGAGGATAGGTATGTAGCCAGAGTGGAGGGCTTTTGGGATAGGTGAGGAGGGGTGTGAGCCAGTGCCACACAGGAGAGGGTTTTTGAGGTGGTCCTTGGTTCTATGTAGTTTTTCTAATGTTGTCTGCCAGAGGCCTTTTGCCATTGGGCTCTCAAACCTGGGAGGTGTGGCCTTTTTAGGTCAATAGACTGCTCCTTTGAGCAGTGGGGTCCTGGGTCAAGACTCAGGGTAGCAATGAGAATGGGCTTGCAGGCCTTAGGGAGGCCTCTGTATTGTGAACAGATCACCCCAGGCTCTCACCTGGAGACACCTGACTGAAGAGAATTGGCAGGAAGCTGAGGAAACTCATGTAGGCTAGGATGACCTAGTTCAGGCATGGGTAGAGTAGAGGCAGCTGCCATCCCCTTTGCCTAGAGGAGCTGAACCTCCCGCAGACTACTTTGGTGGCAAGTGAAGGGAACTTCTCCCAATCCTGAGTGTCTCTCTTCCCAAATGTGGTTTATGTCCAGGGGCAAGTGCAGGCGGAACAGGGTGAGGACTGGGGAAGGGCTGCTCGTTTCTGCTCAAGCTCACAGTTTTTCTCTTCCCCACAGAACTGCTCACTGTGGAAGGCAGAGTTTCCCTGGCAGTGTTGGGACCCTGCCTTGAAGCACCCCCTGCCCTATAGACTCAGCCTTGTATTCTGTCTCCTCACTTGATGACTAGGGCCGTCTGACCAGTCCTCCTCCGTGCCTTGTCTGAGGTCCTTGTCCATCCTTGAGATTGGGCAACTTCTCTCTCCGAGTTGGGTCACCTTAAGCGGGAAACTGAAGCCATTAATCTCCAAACCCTGTTTCATCTTCCCAAGCATGTCGGAAAGCTGGCAGCAGCCGCCTCAGACACAGCCGCAGCAGCCCCAGCCACCCCAACCTCAGCACCATGCCGAGCCCCCACCGGCCCTGGCAGAGCATGCGCTGCCCCCTGGTACTGCTGAGAACCCCCTGGGCTGTGCGGTCTATGGCATCCTCCTGCAGCCAGACACGGGCCTGCAGCCTCCACAACATGCACCCCTGCAGGCAGCCGGGGAGCCAGGACCCAAATGCGGTGTGTGTGGTCACGACCTGGCACACCTGACTAGCCCTCATGAACACCAGTGCCTGGCGGGCCACGACCGCTCATTCCAGTGCACGCAGTGTCTCAAGATCTTCCACCAGGCCACTGACCTGCTGGAGCACCAGTGCGTGCAGGCCGAGCAGAAGCCTTTCGTCTGCGGAGTGTGCAAGATGGGCTTTTCCCTGCTCACCTCGCTGGCGCAGCACCACAGCGCGCACAGTGGCCTCGTGAAGTGTTCTATCTGTGAGAAGACCTATAAGCCAGCCGAGGCCGCAGAGCCTGCCACTGCTGCTGCCCCATCACTTCCGCCAGCTGCCCCGCCTCCGACTGTCGCCCCTGCGGAACAGGCTGATAAACCCTACAGCTGTCCCATCTGCCAGAAGCCCTTCAAGCACTTGTCGGAGCTCTCCAGGCATGAGCGGATCCACACAGGTGAGAAGCCGTACAAGTGCACGCTGTGTGACAAGAGTTTCAGCCAGTCGTCCCACCTGGTGCACCACAAGCGCACACACAGCTCCGAGCGGCCCTACAAGTGCGCGGTCTGCGAGAAGACCTTCAAGCACCGCTCTCACCTGGTGCGCCACATGTACGCGCACTCGGGCGAGCACCACCTGTTCCGCTGTAATGTGTGCGAGCTGCACTTCAAGGAGTCCTCGGAGCTGCTGCAGCACCCCTGCACTCCAAGTGGCGAGCGGCCCTTCCGCTGCGGCGAGTGCCAGAAGGCCTTCAAACGGCCCTCAGACTTGAGGCAGCACGAGCGCACGCACAGTGCGGAGCGCCCCTTCAAGTGCGACCTGTGCCCCATGGGCTTCAAGCAGCAGTATGCGCTGATGCGGCACCGGCGTACGCACAAGACGGAGGAGCCCTTCAAGTGCGGGCTGTGTGAGAAGGGCTTCGGGCAGCCCAGCCATCTGCTCTACCACCAGCACGTGCACACCCTCGAGACTCTCTTCAAGTGCCCCATGTGCCAGAAGGGCTTCGACCAGTCGGCAGAGCTGCTACGGCACAAGTGCCTGCCCGGCGCAGCCGAGCGGCCCTTCAAGTGCCCTGTGTGCAACAAAGCCTACAAGAGGGCGTCGGCCCTGCAGAAGCACCAGCTGGCGCACTGCACCGCGGCCGAGAAGCCCCTGCGCTGCACCCTGTGTGAGCGCCGCTTCTTCTCCTCCTCCGAGTTTGTGCAGCACCGCTGCGACCCAGCCCGAGAGAAGCCGCTGAAGTGCCCAGACTGTGAGAAGCGCTTCAAATACGCGTCAGACCTGCAGCGGCACCGGCGGGTGCACACGGGCGAGAAGCCCTATAAGTGCCCCAACTGCGACAAGGCCTTCAAGCAGCGCGAGCATCTTAACAAGCACCAGGGTGTCCACGCCCGAGAGCAGCAGTTCAAGTGCGTGTGGTGTGGCGAGCGCTTCCTGGACGTGGCCCTGCTGCAGGAGCACAGTGCACAGCACAGTGCTGCCGCTGCAGCTGCCGAGGGCGCCTACCAGGTGGCCGCCTGCCTACCCTGAGGCCAGGCGATGGCTCCTAGGACCAGCCCAGCCTCGCCTCCTTATAGCTGCAGCCCACCAACCCCCCACCCAGCTCCATCTTCTTAGGCTCCGGGAGTGAGGACAAACAGTACTGGGCCAGTGGAGGGTGAGTGTACTCAGCACTCCTGTCACCAGCCTGGCCCTGGGGAGCCAGATCGCTGTGGCCAGTCCTGACT